AGACCAGGGTTCGATTCCCCGCTAGGCCATAAACCCACTGAATGACCTTGGGCAAGTCACATGCTCTCAGCCTCAGGGGAAGGCAATGGCAAACCTCCTCTTGCCAAATCTTGCCAAGAAAACCCCATGATAGAGTTGCCTTAGGGTCACCATAAGTCGGAAAGGTCTTGAAGGCACACAAGAACAACCAATAATAGGTCTTCACAACAAGCAGCAAAGGACCTTTAATCCCTCGAAACATATAGGAAGTAAATAAATAAAGGAGGTTATTGTTGCATGCCTTCAAATCATTTCCGACTTATAGTAGTGGTTTGAGCATCGGACTATGACTCTAGAGACCAGGATTTGATTCCCTGCTCAGCTATGAAAACCTACCATCTGATCTTAGGTGAGTCACACACTCTTAGCCCCAGGAAGCCTCTTGATAGGCTCCCCAAATCAGAAACGACTTCAAGACACAAGACAATGGCAACAAGGTGAACCTATCTTTAGATTTTTTTTCTGGGCAAGATTTGTTCAAAGGAGTTTGCCTTTGCCTTCCTGTGAGATTGAATTTTATAGGGTCTTCTTACACAAGGAATACTCAGAGGTGTAGTCTTGCCAATTCCTTCCTCTGAAATATAGCCTATAGCACCTGGTATTTGTTGGCAATCTCCCATCCAGGTACTAACCAGGGCTGACCCTGTTTAGCTTCCAAAATCAGACAGGGAACTGGTGCTTTTAGGGTACTTAAGGCACCAAAAGTGGACCCAGATACATTAGTCTGAGAGGGTGTAACTGATCTAGAGTTACAAGTGAACTTCATAGCTGAGCATGGTCTTCCCTACTCATTGAAATTTATTTGCATATTCTCCAACATTTCACAGTTGAAAATCAGGACACTTGAGATCAAGCAAAATCAGAATATAGGCAAGATGGCAAAAGGTATTAAAGGAAGAACACACAAGCTTGGAGAGGCTGCGCCAAACCTTACTCTCCTCCCCTGTGCCACTGAATTAATTGATTATAAACTCCTTTTTTCACTTTGAGCTCAGTTTGCAGCAACTGAAATAAGCTGAAGACAAAGGGGGAGAGGAGGGAAAAGAAACTAGGACATTTAAAATGCACCTGGAGAGTGGGATGATAGAGGCTTAACCGAATTGGACAGCTGGTGGGCATAGGTTTGATTTGGATGTGTCCACACAAGGTAATTGTAACACTTGAATACCACTTTAATTAACATAACTCTTATTGTGTGGAATATTGGGGTTTACAATTTCATGAGGTTCACTTTCAGTTTTCTGCCAGATAGCTGAAGTGCTGCAGTTCAAGTGAGCATGCTAGAGAATTCCAAATACTTTATGAAACTACAGACCCCAGTATTGTTTAGCATGGAGCCGTGGCAGTTAAAGTGGCATCAAATTGTTACAGCTGTGCAGTGTGGATTTATATGTGGCTTCTTCTGTCAAACACAGTGTACTGCTCTAAACCAGCATGCTGTTCTGAATAATTTCCAGATCATTTTTTTTAAAAAAAAATCCCCCTGGAATTAACTGAAAATAGTTCTAAATTGCAAAAGCTTCAATAAATGCAGATGGATTATAGATTGGTAGAATCAGGGAATGTAATGTGTACACTTTATTTTCATTAGTCTGCTTTAAATATTGGTGTTTAAAAGTGGGCACTCACTTAAATACCAAAGTGTGTTCCTGTTTCTCTGATATCATAGATCATTTGCAAACGGCAGAGCCTCTTTGATCTCTCTGAATGCCTGACTGGAACTTAAAAAGGAAATTAAATGCAGAGCTCAATTTTTCATTAAGTTGTCGCCCACTGTTTTACAGTTATGACTCTTCAGATCAGCTTCTTCTAACAGGTGGACAAACAGAATGTTAATATGCGGTTATCCGTGGAATTATAAAAGCTGCACCGAGAATGAAATTGTTTGACTCTTATGACATTCTCTTTAATTAGGCATTGTGAGCCAGCAATCCACAAACAATTTAAGTCAATGGGCTTAATGGCAGGAGGACCCACCAAGTATTCTTCCCCTACTTTTATGAAATGACAAAATGAAGGACACATAGAACAAAGAGTCATACGAAGATGAACCCCAAATTCTAAAAAGCGAGGTGGAAACTGCAATCAGAGAAACAATGAAAAACAAATCACCAGAAACAGATGATATTCCAATTGAACTGCT